AACCAGTCTTGCCAGAACCCAAAAGCTGGAGCAGCCCACACCCCGCCCGTGGGGGAAGGGCAGGCGTGCCCCACGTGGGGCGTCACTCGGCCACGGAGGGGGCGGCTGTGCCACGCGTGACCGGGGCAGGCTCCCGAGCCCAGCCGACACGCGGCCCCGCGGCTGAGTCCACGCGAGAGGCGTCAGGCCGGGTCGGTGTGTGGCCCAGGGAATAGGTTGTGGCTGCCCGTGAGGAAGCTGTGACAGAATGTTCTGGAATAGAGGTGCGGCACTGGGAACTGACCAAATGCCGCTGAATTGTACACTTTTAAAAAAAAGACTTGTTGACTTATTTATGCATACTGGGGTGACTTATTTATGCTGGGGTGCAGGCCAGAGGTGTGGGGGGTGAGAGGACTCCCCAGAGAGTGTGGGGAGCAAAACAGGCGGGTCCACTGAAACACCCTGCTGAGGGGAGCAGCGGGGAGACGGGGGTCTGCTGCCCCTGGGGTCCCTCCCTGGCGGGGGTGGACTCAGGCCGCAGAGGCTGCCATAGCTTGATAGCGCTGAAACCTGTACCCCTGCACCACAAGCGGGGGCCCCTGAAGCCCCTGAATTGTACACTGCTAAACAGTGGATTGTTATGTGAATTTCACTTCCATAAATATTTTTTTAAGACTGGGAGAACGTGTGAAAACCCGTGGGCCTTTGAGCACCAGCAGCACCTGAGCCACCCTGGCCTGCCTGCAAGCTGGCCGGCCCCTCCCATGCCCCCCGCCTGGGCAGCCAGGCCTCCATCAAGACCTCTGCCCTCGCCAGCGACCTCCCGTCCCGAGGGGGCCTTCTCTTACTCTGCAGGCCGTGCTGGCGCAGAAGCGGGCCTTCCCTCCCGGCCACAGGCCGGCCGCCCAGCGCCGGACACTCGCACTGTTTCCCACTTGTCCGACTTTGACCTCCTCGCTGCCTTCACAGGCAGCCCCTCGCTCCCCGCGCGCTGGCCTGCCCGCTGGCCTCGGCCGGAGGTGGGGCCCCTTGGACTTTGGAGCTGCCCGAGTAGGAAGGGGCCTGAGTCGTCAAGGGAGCAAAGGTTCCCCCAGGGGGCCCTGGGGCGAGAGAGAGGGCGGTTTCTTTACAATCGGGGCCCCCAGCCTGGGCCGGACACCGCCCCCTACCTCTGGTGACGGAGCCTCCTGGTGCGGTGGCCTCCGCAGGCCACCCAGCTCCCCTGCCCAGTCCCTCCCTGGCATTTGCTGGCAGCCACGGGGAGGGGTCCTGTCTCCGGGGAACCGCCTGGTTCCAGAGGGTCCCCTGCGGTGGAGACCCTGCCCAGCCCCTGGGGCTCCTCAGCCTTGGGGGCAGGCACCCTGGCGAGGTCACTGTGAACAAGAATTTCCTGTCTGCCCTGGTGGGCTGGGGCCTGGGGGGTGGCTGTCTGGCCTTTTCCTCCACCCACACCTGAGCTTTTCTCACTTTATCTGCTTCCTCCCCAGAAGTCCCTGGGAGGGTCCCCAGGCCAACCCCCTGTCCCTCTCTACCACCCACTCCCCCCCCAATCCTTGGGGTCGTCTCAAGCAAGGGAATGTCCAGGACTGACTCATTTATCAAATTATTTGGAGCCTGCCCGGGACACCCAGTCTGGGCTGGAGGTTCAGCCTCAGGAGTGCCCAAGAGGGGACTCACAGGGGGAAGGGGGCAGCTGGGGGAGGGGAGGGGTCTCCCTGAGAGGGGAGGTCTGCAAGGGAAGGAGGGAGCCTTCGGAGACCTGGGTGGGACCCCGTGCACCGAGCTGGCTTTGCTGGGCAGGTGGCCTGGGGCTGGCGTGAGACCTGGGGGCAGGTCTGGTGGGGCCTGACCGAGCCAGGGCCAGGGAGCCCTGTGGACTGCTTCCTGGCCTGGAGGCGGGGGCAGGGCTGGCTCTGTACCCCGTCCTCCCCGGGAGCCTGGTCAGCCCGGCCTCGGTAGTGCGGGGGTTCGGGAGCGGCCCCTGATCCTAGGGCGAAAGCCCCTCCAGAGCCAAGGCCGGCAGGGGGCCACAGGGTAGGGGTGAGGCCCGAGCCTAAGCAGGCACAGAACGGAGATGGGAGCAGGGCGCTCAGGGGCATTTGGGACACCCCAAGTCCACATCCTCCAGGATTGCGGCCCAGTTCACAGATGGACAGACGGATTTACAAGGGCAGGCTGGGCCCTGGGCACAGGGCCAGAAGTAGAAGGGGGAGTCGAGCCCACACTCAGACCCCCCAACTCAGCTCGCCGCCCCACACCCCTGGGCCTGGTGCTGGCTTTCTGGAAAGGATTAGCACCCCGCCCCCCACTGCCCTGAAAACCAAGGTCCCTGCCCGCTTTAGGAGCGGCTGCTGCAGCTTCAGGCTCGGAGCAGACACAGACCGGCCCTCCGCTCCCGCCTGGGCCGGCAGCTTGGGCCTCAGAAGATCCAGGGAGGGAAAGTGGGAGCGGAGGAGTTGCCCCGACAAAGTGTTACAGGGGGGCTGTGACTGCCCGCGTGGACTTTCCCCCAGGGACCCCGGGGCCCCAGGAGGCGAGCAGGGCTGAGACCCGGGTGGTGGAAGGGCTGTGGCCAGAGGCCGCTCTGAGCGGCAGCCGGCCCGGCCAGCAGGGGAGGGGAGCGGGCAGGGAGCTGCGGCGCAGGGCCGGCAGGCGAGGCGAGGTATTTGGGGGAGCAGGGGGCTCATCTGGGCCCACGGGTGAGGGAGGGACGGGGCATCTGCCGCCTGGGCTGCAGCACTGGTGGGCAGGCTGTTTCGGCGCCGCTGGCCTGCCTTCAGGGGACAGGGTTTCAGCAGAGAGCCCAGGCCTGCTGTGCGATGACCCCTGACCCAAAGGGGGGTCTGGACATGTCCCCACCCCCACCCCGAGGGCCGGCGGGCAGCCCTGGCAGTTCTGCCTGCGGGGAGCGGAACTCGGGCCAGAGCCCCATAAAGCCGGGCGGCCTTTACTGCTGCTTTGTTGCCGACTACCCACTGCAATGACCATTAAACTGCAGCCGGCGGCACATCCCCCTTTATGGCCCTGCGCCCCCGCCGGCCACCGTTCGGCCTGGGGCTGGTCCCCGCAGAGCTAGCTCACCCCTGCAGCAGGGTCACTGGGCTGTCGCCCTCCGCCTCAGCTTCCCCATCTGGAATGCGGGGTTCCAGGAGCTCGGGGGAAGCTGTCGTGTTTCCTGCCACTGTCCTAGAAAGCCAGAGAAACCGAGGCAGGCGGATGGCCAAGGTGCCTTGTAGGGGCTGGGCCCAGGAACGGGGCTCAGGCAGGTTGACTCCCCACCACCTCGGCAGGACCAGAGCAGGCGGGGTCTGTGGTTACAAACCCCACATATGCTGTGGAGGGCAGGGCCTGGCCATCACCAAGCACCGCAGAGCAGCCCGGGTTTCCAAACACGAGTAGTCTCGCCTGGGAGTCCCGGCCACGCTCCCTCTGCAGCCTCCCTCCTGCCTTCTGGCGGACTCTGGGGCCCAGGCGGTCACCCCAGCCCCGCAGCCGTTTCACCTGGGCCCTCCCCGGTGTCTGCTGCAGTCCTCCTTAGATGGGGCCTCTCTGGCTTTGGACTTCGGGCCGCCCCACTGTCAGGACTCATCGGCCTAACTCCATCTGCGGGGCCCCATTTCCAAATAAAGTCCTGTTCTCAGGCTCCAGGGACACCTGAACCCGGGGAAGCGTTCAGCCAGCCCCTGCTGTCCCATCACCGTGAGCCAGGCCGAGAACACCCAGGTTTATTCAGGAACAAGCATGAAACAGCGGCTGTGAGCCCGTCCAGACTGACAACACAGGACCCCTGTGTGGCTCCATGGTGAATGGGCCGGGGAGGGGCTGAGTGAGCAGCTCTGGGGGGGCTAGTGTGGGGCGGGGGGCTTTGGGTCAGGGGCCAACTGGACGAGCCTGGCAAATGCACGCCCCTGGGAAGGTCCAGCTGCCGGCTGGCCAGGTCCACCTGCAGGCCCCACACCCCTCAGGCAGTGGGGTGGGGAAATGCCGGGCCTCCCTGGCCACCATAAATCAGCGCAGGAATGTGGCCGGCCAGCCTGGGCAGGGCAGGGCGGACACAAAAGCCCCAGTCAGCCTCGGCCCTCCGGTCCGGGCTCCTGCGCCCCTTGCCTGTCTGGGAGGCCCAGAGCGGCAGCGGGGCGGTCAGCCCGGGGGCCTCCGCAGCCCTGGGGCTCGTCCCACGTGACAGGAGCTTGGCGTCGTTGCGTTCGGGGGCCCTAATGATGGATTGTAGCAACCGGGCTAATTGGTGGTTTCTAGGCCTCCCCGTGGCTTTGCTCCTGCCTGCCCAAGCGGACACCGGGCCTCACTCCCCGGGGCCAGGCTCGGGCGCTGCTAGCTGTTGTCCCTCAGCAAATTGTCCCTCCCGACTCCTGACTGCCCCTGTGGCTTCCCCCACCCGTCAGCACCTGTGGGGGGACAGTGTCCAGCCGGAGGACCCGTGCCACCCACGCCCGGGCACCCCCCACGGTGTCAGGTGAGCCCCGGGCCGAGTCCCGTGTCTCGGCTCTGGGCTGGGCGCCCTCTGTGGTGCGGAACTCTGGGGTGGGCTGTGGCCCCGGAAGCCTCCTGCAAGACGCTACTCCGGCGAGAGCGGCCTTTTTGGGGGACGGGTCCTAAAAGAGGCCCTTGGCTACGCTGGGGCTTCCTGGAGCAGCCCCCCGAGACCGAGACCGCGTCTGCGGAGGGAGTTCGGACACAGGTGCGCGAGGCCGAGAGGGTGGCCGTCGGGGTGACGGGCCACAGGCCAGGCTGGCCGGCGGAAGCCCGGAGCAGGACTGGCCCTCCGCGGGCCCCTGAGGAGCTCGGCCCCCCGACCTGTGGCCCCGGGAACGCGGAGGAGGCGCCACCACAGCCCGCCCGGGCCAGGTGGCCGGACGCGGGACCGACACTGGCCTCTCCAGACGCGGGAGCAGCGTGACAGTCTCCCGGGGCCTCGGGCGTGCTTGCGTGGGGGACGGAGGGCCAGAGCCGTGCCCGGCCCTGCCCTGGCACCAGCTAACTCACCCCTGCCCCCACAGCTCTACGAACTGGACGGGGACCCCAAGAGGAAGGAGTTCCTGGACGACTTGTTCAGCTTCATGCAGAAGCGAGGTGAGGCCTGGCCCGGGCGGGGCGATCACGCGGCCGGGCTGCGGGGAGGGTCCAGGCGGTGGCCGAAGGGCAGCGAGGGCCCGCGCGGAGGCTGCCGTGGGGTCTGCTCGCGAGCCCCGGCCCACCTGCCGCCCCGGAGTCTGAGGGCGCAGCTGTGAGCCTCCTAGGCCGGCCCAACTCGGCCTCAACCCAGAGCCGAGGTCCCGACTGCCAGGAGCCGCCCGCCGGCCTGCCCGCCGGGGCGGGTGGCGCTGGTGTGAGGCTGGCAGCCAGCCCGCTCCTGCGGGGCCCCAGTCCCCACATCTGTGGGGGCCACAAACAGGCCCCGGGGCTCTGCAGAGTGAGGCCCGCGCGCCGAGTGCCCGCTGCTTCTGTTGAGCGGAGGCTGAAGGGGCCCAGTGCGGCTGTGGCCCGTCCGCCCATGTCCGGCCTGGGCCATGCGGTGAGGGCGGCGGCCCCCAAAGTGTCTGGCGACTGAGGCCTGCAGAACACGAGTCCGCAGGCACAAGCGGCAGCCACGGCCGGGAAACTGACCCCAGGGGGCTCGGCTCCGGGTCTCGGCAGCCTGCCCCACCCTGGCCCCGGCTGCCACGGGGCAGACAGCCCCCTCCTCTCCCTCTGGACGCTGCCTTCAGGGCAGCGTGGCCCCGCGGGGTGTGGCTCTCGCTCTGTACTCCCAGGGGTGGGGGGCGCCCCGCTCCCGCCTTCCAGGAAAGGCCCCAAGGCTGGGAAGGCGACCTGGCCACGACCTGGCCGGAGGCAGGAAGGACTGGAGGGGGCGCGACCAAGGGGCCCCTGGGCCACGCTGGGCCTCGCTCTGGCCTGGGCCGGCAAACTGCTTTGTCCAGGCCCTCTGCTTTCCCTCCCTGCCCCAGTGTTGCAGCTTCTGTAAACAGACCCAGCACCGGAAGGGAAGGAGATGAAAGGGGAGGGGGCTTTGGCCTCCTGGTTAACCCCGCCCGTGCCAGGGGATGGAAGCATCCCGGCCCTACTGGTGTGAGGGCCCCTCGCACACTATCGCCCGGCCCGGCCGAGCCCACTGCCCCATGTGGTCGGAGAGATCGTCCCTCTGTCTTATCATTGTGTCCACACCGGCCCAAGCCCCTCACTGCCCTGCCGGAGCCTCCCGAGGCGGGGCTGGGTTCCTGGTGTGGCAGGGACACGATGCGATGCGCGGCCCCGCCTGCGGTGGGAGTGGAACCCCCCCCCCCACTCCCTCGGCCAGACAGTGCTGAGACTCAGCCTCTCCCGAGCCAGGCTTTCCTGGAGGCCAGGGGCCAGCAAGCTCCTATGCATCCCTCAGAACCCGCCCCCAAGGCCCCTCTTTGCTGCGGTCTCCGTAGACCCTCTGTGGTTTGGGAACTTCGGAGCTCAGGATCTGCAGACCTCTCTTGCTCCGGACACCATCTTGCACCTACCAGCCCCCTTTTACTCCAGATAGAAGGAAAATAACTTTTCCACCCATACTGGATTTCTCTCACACTTCTCTGGGGCCTGAAATGAGGGGTCCTGCCGCCACCCCATGCTTCTGTGGTTTCCTTGACGACATTCCCACCCTTCCTCTGGCCGCCCTGCCCCCCACCCCCAGTGCCCTCGCTCTCCAGACAACGCCCACCTTCTGTAAACATCCATCCAGCTGCCTGCAGGCCAGATAGGGGCGGTCCTGGGGGCCTTAGATGGCTCCTCCGTCCTCTTTCTCCAGGCCGAGTCTGGCCACATCCCGGTGGGCAGCACAGGCACAGTGGACGCTGCCCGGCCTGGCATGCCACGGACCCTGGGTGCCTTTTCTTATCTCCCCCTTACACTGGGAAATAGAATTTGGTCAGGTGTGAAGTCTGAGGTGCGTTTTCCTTCCCCGTCACTGCCCTCCACTCACTGGGGAGTGGAGACGGTGGCGGAAGGTAGTTCTGGAATGTCTGATTTGGGGGAGCCCAGAGGCAGAATCCCAGGACCGCAGGCCCTTGCTGGGAGCCGCAGTGTCTCCACGTGCCCCAGGGGCTGTGTGAGCGGGCAGCTTTCCCGCCGCTGGTTGAGCGCCTGCTGCATGCCTGGTTGGGCACCGGGGACCCCATGGGACAAGCAGCAGGTGGGATCAAGACAATAAACTCGGATTCTCACTGTCCGGGAGAGAGGTGCACTGGGGCCCCGGCCAGGAAGTTGCCAGAAGGTCTGGGCTGCAGTGCGAAGCTCCTGCGGCCGGGTGAGGAGGGCCTGTGCCAGGTTTGGGGCTCAGCTGGGTGGGGACAGGACAGGCGTGTGCGCAGCAGGGTCAGGAGGTGGGGCTCGAGGCCAGGCTGGACACGGGCCGTGGCGCAGGTCAGGAGCTTGGAGGGGGCAGCGAGGGCGGGGCGGGAAGTGACCCGCCTGCCCCCTGCACGCACCCACCCCCCTCCCCTGCCACGGCCCACCACTGTACTCTCTAAGCTGCTAAGCGGATTAAGCATGCTCTCCTCCATCCCTCCTGCGACGCCTGGGAGCCTGGGCCCGCAGGCCCCAGGAGTGAGCAGCGCAGGTGGAGGTGTTTTGACACCTGTTGTGCTCAGCGAGGTACAGTGGAATCACGAAGGCCCCCTGCCCGGTTGGGCCCTTTCTCTGCCCCTTCCTGCTCTCTACCTACAGTCCACCGTGGGCAAAGACCACAGATGGATAAACTGAGCCTCTTCTCTGGTTTCTCCAACAGGGGTCTCGCCTGGGCTGACCCTACCCGCAAGGGACGCTTAGCAATGTCTGGAGACATCAGTGGTGTCACAGTGGGGCTGCACACAGCATCAAGTTGGGGGGGCAGGGCAGCTGCCAGGACAGCCCCCAGACTGCCGACATGATGACAGAGCCCCCACCTCGGGCCAGTGCCTCAGCTAGTCTGCATCGCGAGGGGCGCTGGCCCTCGACACACCCTCGCCTCACTGCCCCTGTCCGACCCCACAGGGACCCCCGTGAACCGGATCCCCATCATGGCCAAGCAGGTGTTGGACCTCTTCATGCTGTACGTGCTGGTGACGGAGAAGGGTGGGCTGGTGGAAGTCATCAACAAGAAGCTGTGGCGTGAGATAACCAAGGGCCTCAACCTGCCCACGTCCATCACCAGCGCAGCCTTCACCCTGCGGACACAGTGAGTGCCGGCGGCGAGGGGGAGGTGCTGTGTGCGGGTGTGGCAGGTGCGAAGGGCCCGGGTGGGGGGGGGACCTGCGACTGTGGGTGGGGCCTGTGGGGAGCTGGCCTGGGGCTCCGGCTTGTGCTGGAGGAGGCAGGACAGCCCGGGGCGGGGTCTCCTCTCGGTCAGGCACCCAGCCCCGGCCGGGCGTCTGTGCCACAGTGGGGCTCTGCTTTATACCGAGGCAGCAGGGAGCCGCAGGAGGCGCCCGGGAGCCATCCTGCCCCTCACCCTGTCCGCAGGTACATGAAGTACCTGTACCCCTACGAGTGCGAGAAGCGCGGCCTCAGCAACCCCAACGAGCTCCAGGCAGCCATCGACAGCAACCGGCGCGAGGGCCGGCGCCAGAGCTTCGGGGGCTCCCTGTTCGCCTACTCGCCGGGCGGGGCCCACGGCGTGCTGCCCTCGCCCAAGCTGCCCCTGCCCTCTCTGGGACTGACCGCCAGCACCAACGGGAGCTCCATCACTCCAGCCCCCAAGATCAAGAAAGGTGAGCACCCCGCATCCTGACCGTGGCTCCGCCCCCGCCTGGTTGAATGCCGGGGTCCCCTCAGGTAATCAGCAGGTAACCCCAGAGTTGGCTGGAAAGCAGCCAGCGCCTCTGCCAGACAGTGCCGGCCAGTGGCCGTCTCTGGCCGCTGCGCGCAGGCGGCATCCCGAATCGACTTCCGCACACCCGTGCCGCCTCGGGTGTGTTCCGCAGCGCTGGTCTCGGTTCTGTGCCGAAGCGGGTGTCAAGCGAAACCCTCTGCCAGCGCACGCCGTGGCGGCCCGTCAACACTGTTTTCCCAGCCCACGCTGAGGCATTACCAGCTGAGTGCTGCGCGTTTTTCTTTTTTAAAGGTTTAGTTATTCATGCGTACAGAGCTGGGGCGCAGGCCAGAGGTGCGGGCGGTGAGAGGACTCCCCAGAGACAGAGCGGGGCGCAGAACAGGCGGATGCACTGAGACCCACTGCTGAGGGGAGCAGCGGGAGACGGGAGGGGGCTGCCGTGCCCTGGGGGTCACCCCCGGCCGGGCTGCGCCGGCTTCCGGGCGTTTCAACCTGCTGGGTCACCAGCGAGGCCCTGCTGTGCTCTTTTCTGAAGTCCTGTGGCAGACGTTGCCAATAATTACTGTCGCCTCGCCCCGTGCTGCCCTGTCGGCCACCACAGCGTCCTCCAGCCCTTCTCTATGACAGGCGTGAGCAGCTGCTGGCCACATTCCGTCCCCTTGAACTGAGAATCCTTCTTGACACGCTGTCCAGGCAGACGCCGTAGAGTGCCCTGTGCGTCACGGGCCCCGTAGCCACCCTGAAGCTATTGTTTGGTGCCCCTGGGCAGCTCACTGCCCCTTTCTGAGCCCAGCTTTTATGAGTCAAGTGCAGTGCCACAGGCCCAGGCCTGGGCTGCCTCTCTGGACTTCTGAATCCTTCCTCGCACGGAAGCATGTGGCCTCCAGCAGGGGCGGGGCCCGTTTCTCCTCTGTCACGTGGGCTGTGAGTCCCTGCGGCGCTCCGTTGGCCCAAGGATCTGAGCTGACCCCATGGTGCCCCCAAAATGGAGAGAGCTAGCAGAGCTAAGGTGAACGGGATCTTGCGAAACATTAGCTCATTCAGTCCTCTGTGGGCTTGGTTCGCCCCTCTCAGGCTTGGGGGCTCCTTTGTGATTGAGCAGCCTCACAGGGGAGGCGCTGTGCTGGACTTGGGGCTGCACTGCACAAAGTGAGGGCCCCTAACAAGAACCCCGTGAGTAGGCAGTAGCAGTAGGCCCGTGCTGACGGGAAAGTTGGCTCGGGGCTCTTGCGACGTTGGAGCCGAGACCAAAGGAAGGAGGAAAGAAAGACTCGGGTCCGGGACCCCAGCTGCAGGGGTCAGTGGGGCACCGAGCCTGGAGAGGCCGCGCCGCCAGGCAGCCCGAGGGAGCTGCGGGGAGGAGCCGGCAGGAGGGGGCAGGCTCGGGGTCTGGGGGCAGGACTGTCGGGGGGCTCCCTCTGAACCACCAGGAGGGCGTGATCAGGAGCTGACCTGGACTTGGGCTGCGGGACTCCGACTCCAGGGACCCCTCACCAGCCCTGTGGCAAGTGATTCTGCCTCCACAAGCCTCGGTGTCCTCACGTGAACACAGACCTGGAGTGGCTCTCTCAGGGGCGAGCCCTTGTGTCGTCACGAGTGTCACCTGTGACCCCTTAATGCCGACACCGTGTGCTGCTGCCACACCTGTGTCCACACCAGCGTTGTCATCACTGCCAGCGTCACCGAGGCCACCGCGGCTCTGCGCATCCGTGGCTGCCCCGAGTCTGGCCACCCGGGGCGAGAGTGAGCCCCGTCGGGGTGGGGGCAGAGCCGGCACCTCGCTCCCTCCCGCTCACCAGCTCCTCTTCTCTCCTTTCTAGAGGAGGATTCTGCCATCCCTATCACGGTCCCCAGCCACCTGCCAGTCTCCCTGGCAGGCCACCCTGTGGTGGCCGCCCAGGCGGCCGCTGTGCAGGCGGCCGCAGCCCAGGCAGCCGTGGCAGCACAAGCAGCCGCCCTGGAGCAGCTTCGGGAGAAGCTGGAGTCCGGAGAGCCCCCCGAGAAGAAGATGGCCGTGGTGGCAGACGAGCAGCAGCGGCTGCTGCAGCGGGCGCTGCAGCAGAACTTCCTGGCCATGACGGCCCAGCTGCCGATGAGCATTCGAATCAACAGCCAAGGTACCAGCCCGCCAGCACCCGGGCGCTCGTGTTCCCTGCTCGCCGACGCCGGCACGTGTCAGGAGAGCCCACACGGCAGGACGAGGAGGGAGGCGCACAAGCAGAAGGAACGGCGCCGTACCCAGACGTTTCGCGCAAAAAGTTGCTCCCGTGTCAGAGTCTGTGAGAGGCCCACTTCCGCCGCCCGCTTTTGAGAGTGTCCGGGCGGGGCAGCAGGGGGACGTCCTCACAGCCCCTGGCCTGCCTAAAGTGGGCGGTGCGTCTGGCCCGCGACCTAGCGGGGTCCTGGGCGCTGCAGCAGACCGAGCACGCGCCAGGTCCTGTGGCAGGGCCTTCGAGCGGCGTCGTCGAACCCAGACGACAGCACGGCGGCGGGCCTCAGGCCCGGCTGCCGCCTCGCTCCCGAAGGGCGCGCCTCCCCAGGCCCGGGCGGCGGAGGTGGGGACCCTCGGGGGTGGACGGGCGCGCGGCCGGTCACTCGCGTGACGCCAAGTAGCTTGTGTCCGTCACGCTGGCAGTTAGGAGGAGGTCACTTAGGGCTGCCGACATCTGACCGTCATGAAAAAAACATTTTAGACAAACATTCTCCCCGCCCCGCCCCACCCCAGCCTCAGTGGTGCGCTCAGGTTTTTGTTTGTTCTCGGCCGGGTTCCCGCTGCGCTGCCTCCGTGCTCCGAGCGGACGAGCTCTTGGCACTTGGCGGGCACCTGCTGTGTGCACGGGCGGCGGCCCCGGGTCACCCCTTGGGAGCGTGGGGGGGCGAGGTTGAGAGACGGAAGGTCGCCCACAGGGATTTCTGACCCTGGGCGGTGTTTCTCTTCTTCCACAGCCTCCGAGAGCCGCCAGGACGCGACCGCGAGCTTGACGGGCACCAACGGCAGCAACAGCATTAGCATGTCAGTAGAGATTAACGGCATCATGTACACAGGTAGGGCCCGGCGCGCCCCAGGGGAGAGCCCGGCGGGAAGGGGAGCAGGGGCCCGGGGAGCACCCAGGGCCTTCCCTGCCGGCTCCCGAGGGAGCCGGCCCGTGCGGGCGTCCTGTCCAGTCCAGAGTAAGCGCCCCAAAGGACGCGTCCTCTGCGAGGCTTCTCCCGTGCAGTTGAGGTCCTCCATATCTTTCTAAAAGCGAGTGAGGCCTCGTGCTCACTCAGGCATCGGGCGGCGCACCCGAGGAGCGGAGTTCGGGGCGTCCCAGCCAACCCTGCTGGACTCCGCAGGGGCCGCCTGAGGGGCCCTGACCGGCACGTCAGCGCGAGGTCCTCACGGCCTGTCTCCCCGTCTTTGCACCAGGGGTGCTGTTTGCTCAGCCGTCGGCCCCCACGCCGCCCTCGGCTCCCAGCAAAGGCAGCGGCAGCGGCGGCAGCGGCGGCGGCCGGGGAGGAAGCAGCGTGGGCAGCGGCAGCGTGGGCAGTGGCGGCATGGGCAGCCAGGCCGGGCCTGCCGGGCTGCCCGCACCGCCCACCTCGTCTACCTCAAGTAACTCATTGCCTTAACCGCTCCACTCCCCACCGAGCACCCGCCTGGGGCCAGCCAGACCGGGCGGGGTCGAGGTGGACCAGCAGGGCCGGGATGTCGGGAGACACGGGTGGGCGAGGGTCACGCAGACAGGAGCCACAGCCAGCGCCAAAGAGAGAGACACGTCTACACACAGAGAGACACGCTAATAAAACAGGGGAAACCGACGAACACTTGGATTACTCAGGTTTCAGACATTCAGAAAGAGGAGTTTCACGAACAGCAGCGGAAATCAGAAAAGAGGCAGACACCTCTAGGGCTTCGTGCGGCCCTGGGCTGCGGAGGCCGCGTCCAGCGGCCGCCAAGGCTGACCGTATTTACCTCACACGTCCTGCACCGTCAGCTGGTCTGGCTTTTCCCTCCTGTTCATCACACGCCCGCCACACCAGCTTCTTCTGTTGGATGGTAACCCCTGAGCCACAATCAGTTGAATTTTTCTTCCTGTTGCTTTTGGAAACATTTTGTTTTGTTTTGTTTGTTTTTTAAAGAAATAGCAATATTCAAACTATAGGGTTTTTAAGAGGTTTGGGGGGTTTGGTTTGTAAATACTCTATTTTATTCTTGGGGGAGGAATTAGGAAAAGGATATATATATCTATACATCTATATATTTGTGTTCATTCAGGGAGACTGGACTTGACAATAATGCCCTTTATTTTTCCCATGACTGATTCGGGTTTGTTTGTGCATTTCCGGTGGTGTGCTGGCCAGCTGGTGAGCGCCGGACACCGGCTCCCTGGGCTAGAGCGGCAGAGGTGAACTCAGGTGCTTTGGGCTGGGCGGGCAGCAGGCCCCAGGGCGGGTGGGCGGCAGGCCCCGGGGGGGCGGGGGGAGGGCGCCTTTTGGCTGCATGCAAGGGGTTCCGGGAACAGATTTGGAGGTCTAAGGAGAAAGTGCTGGAAAAGGACACCCCCCCAGGGTGGGAAGGGCTCTGACCAGAACAGCCCCCAGGCTTCTGTCTCAGGGATGAATGCGGCCTGGGGGCTCTGTCTTGCCTACTTTTGGAGACTATCAGTACTGGGGGATGGGGTACAGCCAGGCTTAGCTCAGGGTGAGGTTTTTGGGGCCATGGCACCCTGAACAGCCCCCCCATTCTGGTCTCCCTCTGTCCTCTCCCACCGCTTTGGCACTAAAGTAGCAAAACTGAGGCACGAAGGGACTGAACCCCTCTAATGCCCCCTCAGGTGACCTGCCTCGGAAGGGTGGGGCACTCTGGCAGGGCTTGCACAGGGGCCACCCCGCCCCCGGAAATCCAGCCTGAGATGGGCTGGCCTTGGGGACCCACCTGGCCCTGCCCTGGCCCGGGCCTCCTGCCGCTGGCCGGGGCCGGAGCGACTCACAGGCAGCAGTGTGCAGCTGGTTCCTCTTGGGGGGCTGTAGGCCAGGTTAACTCGGCTGTCCCCAGGGTGCGCCTGGGGTCTAATTGGGCTCGGGGAGCCTGGCCTAATGAGCTGGGGGGCAGAGCCCTGCGGCCCCAGCTACATCCCGGCGGCACCCCGTCGCCTGGGATCCTTCTGGGGGAGGAGGGCCTGGGCCAGGGGATCGGTTTGCTTTCTAGTCAGGCTGTGGTGTGACTTTGGGAAGGAACTCCTCTCTCTTTGATATATCTCAGGGTCGTTGATGCTCCCCCCAGGAAGGGGGGGGGTGGCTGGCATCCAGGGGTTTCTTCTTGGCTTCCTTCTAGAAGGTTCTCCTCTTTCTCGCTGCAGCAGCACAATCATTGTGGGAAAGGGAGCGTTTGGTCCCCAGACGCCTCCAGGCCCCTTGCCCCCTCTTCCTCCTGCCCGTCTGCCCGCCCCTGGCGCCCACTGGCGGGTTGTGGGGGTCCGCTGGCGTTTCTTTCTACCTCAGGTGTGTGACTTTGATGCCAAAATCCACCCAGCCTGCCCCTCTGTTCCACTTGCTCAGGACTTGGGGCAGGTAGGGAGCCGCGCCCCCACCACCCTGGGGGTGCACTGCGTCTGTGGGTGTGGCCCCGGTGCTGTCTTGAGGGGTCCGACTCAAAAAGCAGGCGGCCTGCTGTCCAACACTGGTGACTGAGGGGCAGGCGGGGCCGGGCTCTGCGCCCCTGCCCCTGGAGCCTGCCGGGGGGCGGGGGCCTCCAGAGGACCCGCACCTGCCTCCGTGGCCCCCTCAAGCCCTGCCCCTCCGACTCTGGGCTGTGGCCTCGGTGGGGGTTTAGGGAAAGGGCAGGTTTCTGGGGTGTGGTTCAGCACCCCATTATGCAAACCAGGGTGCCTCACCCCTGCCTGTGTACTGTCCATTCTGGAACTGGGGGCGCAGCAGGGCCAGGACAGGGTCTCCCAAACTCAGGGCGGAGAGGCGCTCCCTGCTCTGGGGGGTTTGTGGACAGGTTGCTTCTAGAATTTTCCTTGTGGCCTCTACACTGGCCACAGGCTGTCCAGCTGGGGGGTGGGCGGGGTGGACTGGTGCACGGGGTGGCTGGGTTAGTTTGAGTAGTTGTGCATTTATACAGCCACTTTTTCGCTTTTATCATTTTTGCCCACTTTTTTCTTTAATTTTGCTTTTGTGTTTTTTTCTCGGCAAACATGAATTCAGCCTTTCATTCTTGACAGGTGAAATTTCAGTTTCTCTGGGGTTTGTCAGATCGCGTGGATGCCACGCCTGAACTCAGGTTAAAGGAAAAAAAAGTTTTTTTAAAGGTATAACTACTCTCTACCTCTGGCCGGCCCAGCCTGTTGCGAGCTGCCCGCACAGGCGGCCTGTAACAGATTTCAGTTTTTGCAGAACATTCAGGTATTAAAAGGGAAAAAAAAGCAAAAGACCAAAAAAAAAGTGTGATTTTGAAATTTAAAACACTGAAAGTTTACATTTTATAATAACATTATTATGCAGATTGTATTTAAACTTCAGAAATATTTAAGACAATTGTAACCCTGTAAAGCTGATGAGATATTAAAACAAGACCAAACACTTCTGACTTTTAACAGAAATCCTCTCCTGTGGTGGTTTTTGGGCGCCGCCCCAGCCCCATCCTGTTGGGGTCCGTGTGGCAGAAGGCAGAGGCCAACCCAGAGGACTGCGCCCTGGGCCACTGGGCCATGTCTGGGGACATCTGTGGGCGTCACGGCTGATGGGTGCTCCAGGCACTGAACGGGTGGGGCCAGGGACGCTGGTCAGCCCCCCCGCCCAGCGCCCAGGGGAGCCCTCTACAGAGTGACCCCCACATCAAGGGGTGGGAAGGACCGAGCTGAACCACCCTTGAAAGTGGATGTAAGCAGTGGAGACCGGATGTGAAGCCATTTGGGGGTGACACGGCCGGGGGAAGGATGTGACCTAGGCCCCCAGGCTGGCTGTGGGGTCCAGGGTCCAGCGCAGACTCCTCGGCTGACTGAGCCCCCAGGATGTATGGCCAGGCCTACTGGTCCTGCTGCCGCACACGCTCCCTTCATCCTCAGCCCTTCAACTGTGCGCCGCTCCCTCACCCCACCTGTCACCCCGCTGCCGCTCCCTCACCCCACCTGTCACCCCGCTGCCCCTCCCCAATCGTGCACCTGCAGTGCTGGGCAGAGCCTCGAGGCTTGGGCCCCCCCACCCCCAGCCTCCTGCTGCGGTTAGGGTTAGGGTCACTGGCTCAGCAAAGCCCGCCCCGCTTGTACCAAAATCCACATCTCCAGTGTCGTGACACTTTCACCTTCTGGTGGGGGGCGGCTCCAGTGAAAGCAGATGGAGGGGTGTGCGGTCCCAGGGCTGCGCTTGCTGCCTCTAGCCATGTGCAGAGGGGGTGTCCTGTTCTGCAAGCCCAACCAGAGAAACCACCCCAGGATCCCTGGAAGAGGTCTCCTGGGCAGCGGTGCCAGGCGACGGCCTGGCCTGGCCTTCCTGACTCCCAGGCCACCAACTCCAGCCACAGCTGGCCTGGGCCGGTCAGGCCTGAGTCAGCCCAGACTCCAGCCTCAGCCTGGCTGACGGGAGTGAAGAAAAACAACTCCCTTCCCGTGAGCCAGCTCGCTTTTGGGGCCTCCCCGTTTGGTTTCTTCTGTGGCATTTTCCACTCAAGCCAGAAATGAATCCACCGAGACCTAATCCTGGCCCCCGGAGCCTGGGGGCAGCGGGAGGTGATACCACAGAGGTCAACCCCCTGCCCCTCAGGGAAACAAAGGGAAAATGCCTTAAAAAATTCTCTTTCCGCAAAACTGGATCTGCCAGTCCCGCACCTTCATTCCTCAGCCTGAGGGACCCAGAGAGGGTCAGAGCAACCCTGAAGCCACACAGCTCCCAGCGTGGGGGGGGGGGCAGTTGCCTCGGCAGCCGCTGCCTCCGCCCTGCCTCGCAGCAGCTCCGGCTTCCCAGCTCTGCGCCAGCCAGTTGGCCCCTGGGAGGCTCCCAGGGGGTGAAACTCAAAACCACTCTGCTTAGTGGCGCCCAGGGAGCCAGCAAGAAGCAAAGGTTGGAGGGGGGAAGGGGCTGGAAGGATCATTAACACACAGTGCGGCCAGGCCCCGAAGGCTGGGCCGCTACCCGCTGCCCAGGTTTGGGCACCCTGGCCGGGGAACGGGGCCCAGTCCGGGGTGCGACTGGGTGCCAAACGCCGGGGTCTGGCTCAGTCTATCAGTTGTACCCAGTGCTGGGAAAATGAGCAGGCTGTGGAGGGCTCGGCCTCAGTTTCCCAAGCCAGCGCCACCCACCACCGCCACCAGCCTGGGATTAGAGACCAGGCACCCAGCTGGCTCTGAGCAGGCCTGGCAACTGGGTGGTCCAAGAAGCCCCCAAGTGTGGCTTTGTCCTGCTCTTCTAACACAACTGGTCTGTCCTCATTCCAGGAAGGGCTGGGGGTGGGGTGACCTCTGACCTCACACAACAGCCTGGATGAGCTGGGTCCCCAAGGAAGGGAGGAGGGGAGGGAGAGGCCGGTGATGGGGACAGGGCTGTAGTCCATCTGCCCTGCCCCCCCACCGGCATCCACTGTCAGCACCCCTCTTCAATCAGCCTACCCCCTCGTTCTCCCCTGCACCTGTGCCGACCGGTGGGCCTCAGAGTCCTGGAACCCAGGAATGTGGAAACTTCAAGACCAGATCTCAAAACAGGACGGGAGGCAGGGCAGAAATCCCCCAGCACGCCCCCTGCCACACACTTCCGCAGCCGGTCGGCAGCCATGACACACCTGCTCCGCGTGTGGGGAAACTGAGGCCCCAGCCTTGGCCCCGGCTCAGAAGTGCCTGGTCCCAGCCCTAGAGGGAGCTGAACAGAGGGCTACCAAAGAGCGGGGAGCTGCCCACTGCGGCCATTTTCAAACTGGGCTTCACAGAGCACCAGTGACTCAGGATTCAGAGGAAGATGTGGCTGGGGGGTGAGACTGTAAGGTGGCATTCGAAGTGCCCTCGTGTCCCTATTCCCACTTTTAAAACATGCAGGAACCTGGGGGCACCAGCTGGCTCTGCGAGTGGAATTCGGGGACGGTGGGCCCTGCCCAGTTCCCGGTTGGCAGCTCCTGGGTCTGGACGCCCCTCCCGCAGCCTGCACCAGGGCCTCGTCCGTCCCCGGGGTAGAGTGGCACTGCGTCTCCCAACTGCCCCCAGGCCTGGAGAGGCCGGCTCTCCCCGCCCCCGGCTGGCCTCGGGTCTTCCCCCTTTCTCCTCAGGTGTCGCTTCCCCGCTCCGGGAAGCCCCTCTCCCCGGGTTCCCGAACGCTCCCCGCGGTGCCCCTCCCGGCACTG